CATAGATTCTTCCCCTTCTGAACTTTAAGATTTTTCTTCAATTTTTTTATTTTTCTCTCTGCATTTCTTTGACATATATACCATTTGAAGATTCATAAACTGTCCTTCCCAAAGTTGTGACCTCCTCCCCTTTCCCCTTATTGTGTCCCGTTTTGCCTGTCATAATGGTTTTCTTTGCAATTACTGTCAAACGTCCCTCTTGTCTGTTTCCTCCTGATTGTCTTCTTTGGTTAGACTTTACCTGTGAGAAACTTCTAACCAGTGTTGGCTTCAAGGTCTTTTAAAAATATTTTTTTTATCCTCTTGTATTATCATCTCACACACATTTGGGCCCTTATGAAAACTAAATAGAAAATAATTGAGAATCCTCTCGTCTGTTTTCATGATGCTTTTTCTCACTCTCGCCTTTGCTTTTTTCCTTCTCTGTTTTCCCAACTCAGCCGTGGCAGCCTTGTTATAGATTCTGTAAAAGTAATAGTGCAGAAAAATAGAAAATGGGGATAAAGGAAAGCCACATGTTCAAAAGACCTAAGGCTAACTAGGTCCGATTTTCTGACTCTCAGATGTGCATCTTTTCAGTCCTTTTCCTATTGAGGCAAAACATGTTCATACATGGGGTTTTAAAATATGCTTTGCTTTTAAGTACAATTATAGTGTTTTCTAAATGTCTTTTCTTTTTTTTTTGTTTTTTGTTTTTTGTTTTTTGAGACAAGATTTCTCTGCAACAGCCTTAGCTGTCCTGGCACTAAGTCTTGTAGATCAGGCTGGCCTTGAACTCCATAAAGATCCGCTTGCCTCTGCCTCAGGAGTACTGAGATTAAAGACATGCGCCACCACTTCTCAGCACATTTTCTAAATTTCTTTCTTTCATGTAATATGAAAATTTCACTACAAAAGATTTCGATGCTGTCATATCAAAAGGGTTGCCCTTTGGCAGTAGAACCTCACATTTCTGTCAAGTGGTCTGAAATATAGTTAAGATCCTTGCATGAGTTTGCATAGATTCTTCTGTGGCTTACTGTGGCTTAGGAGGTGTGAGGAGAAGGAAGGGTGGAGGTTGCCCTGAGAGCAGGGGTCAGGTGGAAGTCCCTCCCTTCTGAAGTGTCCCTGTGCCACCTGCAGAAAGCTCTAGCTCATCCTCAAGGGTTGGTTGTGTCAACAGGAAAAAGATAGCCTCTGGTGGAGTTTAGGTAGGGAATGGAAGGAGAAAGAAGAAGCTAGAGTCAAAGGCTTCAGCAAGCTGGAGATCACAGGGCTTGGTGAGATAATGAAGGAACTGTCTGGGCCATTGTCATTACTGGAGAAGAGCTCAGGGGCTAAGTAGATGGCTGGAATTTCTTGGTCTCTTATTTAATTATAGCTGGATTCCCTGGCATCAGACTTTCAATCAGAAGCCTGAATGCTCTAATTGCTATATTCCCAACCATCCTTCTTTTAAGACAGTTATTCTAGTCTAAATTTGTGGGGTTTTGTTGACTTTGTGCACTATGATTTCCTCCAACATCTTATTCTGTCTAATGCATTCAGTAGGTGCTTAATAATTGTATGTGGAAGAAATGGGCAACAAGAAAATTGTGCAGATACTGTATAAAAAGGCCAATGAGAAAAGTTGTTCATATTTATTTCATTCATTCTTCTGAGCACAGCAGGAAGAATAGAAATCTGCATTATAGGCAGAAACGCGATTCTCTGAAGTGCAATGTCGTCTTCCATGATAAGTTTTTTTGTTCCCTGTCTGTAAAGTCCCACGTCGATGAAACTGATGGGATGTGAATTCTCTTGAGATATGTAATGTTTAAAGTGTGTAATAGATTACTTCTTTAATATAGCAGACAGCATGCAAATTATATCGCGTTATGATATAGTGGTCTCCCAAGGCCAGAAGGTCTTAATAAAAAAGGAAAATACCACATTTGTAAAACACTCTTCTTGTGTGTTTACATTTAATAAATATTCTTTTCAAATCTACTCAGCAAATATAACAGATGGAGATGAGCCTAGCCCTGCTTTATGAAACCTTCAAAGATGCCTTTGGGAGTTCTCTTTGTGGTTCATGTTTGAATTGTGCAATATTTCGGAAATATAAATGTTTCCTGCTTCTGTTGTAACAAATCCCAGTCAGTCTTCTTGAGTGTTTCTTCAGCCTCATCCAAAATACAGTTATTATCTTCATCTAAGTGTTGTTTTAATTCATTAATTTGAGTGTTAATGCTGTGACAGATTTTGCCTTTTAGATATTGACAAATATGTATCTAAGTGTGCCAGTTCCCAAACATGAGGACGCATATGACTGACTGGACCTGAGAGCTGCCTGCTTGCATTTCTAAGTAAAAACATCCAAGTCTTTGCATCTCTTCACTTAATTGGTTTAATGGTTACTTAACTCATCGTGACAAATTACTAATATTCGTTATTGTACAGTTTCTGTGGATCTTGAAGCAGGTAAGTCTTAGCTGTCCTGGTTACAGCTTTTATAAACTCGTAGCCATGGTGTCAGGCTGCACTTATCCCGGGCTCTGCTGGAGAAGACTGCTCGAAATTCAGGCTGTGGGTATTGGCAGTATTCCTTTCTGCTGCCCTTTCAGACTGAGCTGCTCACTGGGCACCCACGTCATGGCAGCTGACTCCCTTGTGGTGGAAGGGGTGGGGTGGAGAAAGAAAGGGAGCCCAGTGCTGTCCCCTCTCCAGCCTAATGGAAACATTAGGACCGTAAATTCCTATTTGTCACGTGATGCTTTCTGTACTCCGAGGCAGAGTACAATCCTATGTGTGCAAATACTGGAAATTAATCTAAACACCATTAGGATATTAGAGGCCGTGCTACAGCCAATGTATAAATATCCAGCTGACACGGTAGGCTCTGCTTTGGTGATCTCTGTGCATCTGCCGTTTTCCCAGACGGCTGCTCCACGTTGTCCTTGAAGATTCTGATGTGGAGGGTCTGCCCGTTCAGGGCATCTGTCGAGACAGTGGCTGTAGCATGTATTTACTCCCAATAATTACATGAGATGTTCTCCTTTTGTGTATTAAAATATTCATAGTTTTGAAATGAGTATTTCAGAAATCGTGCCTTGGAGAAAGCTTGGCTTTTATAAACCAGCGACTATGAAGCCAGAACTGTAGGTGTGAGGCAGTGGTTACAGTGTCCTACCAAACTAGACACTTTTGTGAGTCATCCAGGGCCTTGCCAAGCCCCAAGAGGACCCAGCCTTCCCTGCACATGTGTGTGTGTCTGTGCACGTGCACCACATATGTATATGTCTGTGTACATGAATCACGTGTGTATATGTCTGTGTGTGTATACCACGTGCGTGCCTGGTACCCAGATCAAAAGAGGGTGTCAGATCCACAGAACTGGAGTTACAGATGGTTGTGAGCTACCATGTGGGTGCTGGAAATTGAACCCAGGTCCTTTGCAAATGCAACAAGTGTTGTAAACCACTGGGCCATTTTTCTAGCCCCTCATCTCCGTAATGTGCTAGTCATTCATCTGAATTCTTAAAAGTATATGCAATCAACTTTAAATTTTGATTTGTTTAAGGTAGCTTTTTCTTTTGCACTACTGGGGGAGGAGGGATTGTGTGTGTGTGTGTGTGTGTGTGTGTGTGTTAGGCACTCTACCAGTGAGCTACATTCCAAACTTCTTAGACCCACTCTATGCAGGTGTACCATACAATGAGTTGCATCCATTTTAAGTTCATGAGTTTTGACGGATATATACCACATAACCTTTGTAATAACCAAGATATGGAGTGTTTCTGTCCCCTCAGAAAGGACATTTGGCCTCCACTGTAGCAAGAACTTCTCAGGTAGTCATTGATCCCTTTTCTGTCATTGGATTTGATTTGCCTTTGACCAGGATTTCGTATAAGTGGGTTATGCAATAACTGTTGCCTGGGATCTGATACAAACATACATATTGTCTGCATCTCTTTTTATTTCTAGTAGTGTTTATTGTATAGATAAACCACAATTTAAATACTGCAGTGAGTGGGTGGCCTTTGTGTACCGTGAATAAAGCCGCTAATGAGTATCTATGGGCAGGTATTCCCGAGTAAGTAAATACTGCGCTCTGGCTGAAAGTGTGCATTCTTTTGTGACTTCGCACAGGTGTCTCTTAGCCAACTGCACTAGCGTCCTTGCAGAGTCACAGACCCTGCACTTTGCCGTGTAACCACTGTTTACCCCAAGTAAGACACTAGTGTGTGGCAAGTGCATTTATTATAAAATAAAATGGTTAGGTGAGCCATCCCAGGGCCCATGTTCTTCACTGGCAGAGGTTGTCATCGGTGTGGAGACTTTTCACAGTCACTAAGGGACTTTTTCCTTAAAGCAGGAGCAAGGTGGCTTTGGTTTTTAATTGTTTTAAACTTGCTAATCTACCACAGAGTGATTGATATTTTTGATAAAATAAGAATGAATTCATAGAAAAATAAAATGCCCATAAAGAAATATAAGCTCCAATATTTATAGATTCAACAGATGTATAATAACTGAATAAAATGGTTATTAAGACGTCAATGTTCTCTTGATTTTCATGGGTATAAAAATAAATATGGGAGACAGTGATGGTCCATGGACCAGGCCAGGGGTAGCGCTGATGTACTGGGTGAGAGGGCAGAAGCCCAGTGTTAGGTCAGTGGAAGTCTGGTCCTTCAAAAGTCCATTTAGCTCACAGTATCCAAGGCCTTGGATGCTGATGATAATTTAGCTCTTGTTATTGGGCAGCCAGAGAATTCTCAAAAGGATGATTGATGGATGCCATCTGTGTGAAGGGCGTATAGTTAGGATGCATTTCTGTCAAGGAGTGCAGTTGGAGGACCAAGGGGTGGTTTGGGGTTAATAGAAGAAAACAACCCCATATCCAAGTTTTAGACACTTTATAGAAGTGTCTGGTAGACACTTTAGAGAATATCGGAATTTAAACTAGCTAGTCCCTCGATGAATAGTCTCACGAACATAATTAAATCTCAACGCAGACTCCACCTACTGTCTTCCAGAAACCACACAGATTGAAGATCCGAGAAAGCAGTGGCGGGGCGAGCAGGAGAGGATGCTCAAGGACTATCTCTCCGTGGCCCAGGATGCACTCAGGACGCAGAAGGAGCTGTACCACGTGAAGGAACAGAGGCTGGCGCTGGCCCTCGACGAGTACGTCCGCTTAAATGACGCCTACAAGGAAAAGTCAAGTTCTCGCACAAGCCGTGAGTACTGTGTGGCTGGTCCCACTCCAGAACTGAAGATGAGATTGTAGAGAAATGAAGGCCACTCACACTTCTCTGGAGATGAATTCTGAGCCCCTTTCCCTCCTCGGCAAGAATCCTCCAGGCCATGAGAGATGACGGTTCCCAACAGATTGCTCAGGGAAATACCCATCCCCACTTGAGGTACAAATCTCCCCGTTTAGGCATCGGCTTCTGCCGGGTTGCCTTTTGTTTGTGTAAATTTCTCTGTCAGAACAAGGAAAGGAGGCCAGAGGCATCTGATCCCCTAGAACCAGAGTCAGAGAGTTGCAAGCTATCCAACATGGGTGCTCGGAACTGAACTTAGGTCCTCTGGAGGAGCAGCAGGCGCTCTTTGCAGCCCAAATTTGAGTCTTTCAAAGGTGACATTTGCCCCTAGAGAGGAACTGGGACTTACAGCTCAGTCCCCTCCCTCCCCTGTGTTCACCTGTCAGTCATCTGGACAGGCCTGAATTAAAGGGGCAGCTAGGCTGGGCTCAGAACTGTTATGTCATAGAGCTTCCCCTCTTCCCCCAAGGAGCTGCACTACAGATCTCTTGAAGGACCCAGGACAAGTTCCTTTCAGTATTTTTGTATTCCGAGGCTTTGTTTTGGTTTGTTTTTTTAATATGACAAAGGCTTGAAGAGCCAGGCCTGGTGGCTCATGCCTTTAATTCTTGTACTTGGAAGGCTGAGGCAGGAGAATCACTACAACTTTGAGGCTGGCCTGAGCTTCATAGTAAGACCCTGTTTCAAAAAGAGAAAATAGGCTTGAAAAAAGTGTGAGAACCTGTCTCCTACAGGGACCAGAAAAGGGCTCGTGCATCCTAAGTGTGTGCTGGACCACTCCCTGAGCAATGTCTGCAAGCCTCTTTTGACTTTGAGATAGGCTCTCACTACGTTGTGTAAGCTGTCCTTGAACTTGCCCTTTAGCCCGGGAACACTTGCTTTTCCCATCTTTCTGCTATAGCCTCCTATCTAAAGGGATACAAGGCTAGCTTGGAATACCAGGTCTCGTCCATAAACCTTACTTTTAAAATCAGTAAATTCCAAGCTTTCAATTATTGCAATTAATAAATGATATTTTTTTCCTCTCTTAAAAGTTTTCTCAGGGTCTTCATCCAGCACTAAATATGATCCTGATATTTTAAAAGCTGAGATCTCCACCACGCGATTAAGGGTAAGATTGTTCTCATTGTGGTTCTTGATTGAACAAGTGCTTAGAAGCTCAGGCCATGGCGAAATCATGAGAAATCACCTCCCATCTTTGCCTGTGAAGGAAACATCTCCATTCTGCCCTGTTGGGTGGTCTTTCTCCTTTGTTTGAAGGATGGCTGGGATGACTTTTCTCTCCCATCCAAATACTAACCGGGCCTGACCCTGCTTAGCTTCAGAAATCAAATGAGATCGGGTACCTTCAGGTCGTGTGGCCATAGCCTGGGGTTCTTTTGTTTCCATTGCTGGCTTTTCTTTTTAGCAGTTAGTATATGCAAGGGAAACCTGCATCCTGCTAATTTACTTTCCCTCGCTGTCTTCCGAGATGTTTTGCTCTTTCATCAGGTGCCCTGGCATTTAAAAAGGTGTCTGCAACTTCCACCAACTACCTTGTCAGTCTGTCATTCCTTCTCTGAAAGGATTATTTCCTGATCATTGCTCTAATTATTTTGATCAAACTGCTAAATATCGATCTTGTTTATCATTGATTGGGGGATCACATGGGCTATTCATGAGCAAGATGCATCATATGTAATAATTACATGGTCCTGCAGCAAATTATCAGCACAACACAGACGCCTCCATCGCTCCCTTGCACATTATCTCAGTGTGTTCTCAGCTAGAAGCGCTGCTCGCCTTGCTCGCACTGAGTCTGATGCTTTCATTAACATTGTAAAAACCAGAATGCCTCCCATGTATGTGGTTCCGTGGCATTTGTTTTTCCAGCATTATTTCAGGATTCAGCCACATTCACTTTTAAAGCAAAATAGCTGCTTCTTTGGCAGACATGTTTCTCTGTTCTACCACTAACGTGTGTCTGTTTACTCCAGCTCCTGATCATTAATAACTTCCTTATGTATACATCGTACATACTTTTGGTGCATACATTATTTTTTGTTTGTTTGTTTTTCAAGACAAGGTTGTTTCTCTGTGTAACAACCCTGGCTATTCTGGAACTCACTATGTAGAACAGACTGGCCTCAGATTCACAGCGATCTGCCTGCCTCTCCCTCCTGAGTGCTGAGATTAAAGGTGTGCGCCACCTCTGCCTGGCTGCATGTACACTTCTTTTGATACAGTAGTGGAGTTAGTATGTCAAGAATGAACACATCTTTTAGTAGGGCTAGCTTAGTTGGCCAAGTGCTTGCCAAGCAAGTGGCTCAAAACAAACAAACAAACAAACCCACCTACTGTTTTTCAGTGGGTATTGCCAGAGTTTTAACATCTCTGGCTTCCAGATATTTGCATTAAGACTCAAAGTCACTTAAAACCCATGACTTTTGCTTACATTCCATAACTTTGGAATTTTGAATTTTTATTATCATGTGCTCCAAATCATTTCCTGCCTCTCTGAGAACTAGAGTACATTTTCAAGCACCTGAAGAGTTTTATCATTATCACTTATTTCAGCCAATTCTACTTATGATTTAAATGATTTTACTTATTTATTTGGTTTCTAGTTCCTTGCCCATATTCTGCACAATAATATATATATATATATATTACCAAAATATATATTACCAAAATAGCTGTAGAACTTTCACTTCCATGCCTTGATTAATCCAGGGCCTGGATCTCCTGTCTTCTGGGTCCTTGGGTCTATTCTGCTGTTCTTTTGGCTTTTGGTCAGTTCTTGATCCTTATATATGCTTACTTCTTAAGAGCCATATACTACGTGTGCAGTCATACAAAGATAATTTTAAGCTTTGGGCAATCTTTCATTTTCAGAGCACTCACTTTTTGAGAAGCACTTTGCTTCTTGTGGCCTTTCAGTTGGGAGCAGATGGTTTAAATCCAGCCAGAAGTGGAAATGACCGAAATCCGGTCTTCAATCCCTTTCTTAGTGTGGGTCTATGTCCAGCTTATCCTGTCTCTTAGGGCAACGCTCTCAGAGCTGCCCATGAGCTCATGGACACCCCCTTGCCCCCCAACCCATCAGCTTCATTGAGACCTGTTGACTGTGGTTTTCTGTACTGCCCCGTTCCCACAGTCGTTAGGTCCCAAAGAATCACACAGAGGTCTATATGAATGTTAAACTGATTGGCCCATTAGTTCAGGCTTCTTATCAACTCTAATATCTTATATTAACCCATTATTCTTATCTATGTTAGCCACATGGCTCAGTACCTTTTTCAGCGGAGCAATCACATCTTCCTTCTTTGGTGGTTGAGACAGTACTGGGGAGGAATGGGCTTCCTCGTTCCCAGAATTCTCCTGTTCTCATTGACCCGCCTCCACTTCCTGTCTGGTTGTCCTACCTATACTTCCTGCCTGGCTACTGGCCAATCAACATTTATTCAAAACATAATTGACAGACTATAGGCAATTGTCCTGCATCAGAGACTGAACTCCCAACCTCTCCCCTGAGCTGTGTGGGCTTGACTGCCCGTCATTCTCTGTTTCCGGAACCCGACTGCGTATTCTTCCAGCTGTTCTGCTCATTGTACAGCCGGGTCCCCAGGAAAGAACTCCATGTGTGGGTCACTGCTGCGCTCCCGTTACCGTGGGGCCTCTAGCATAGTTCTGTGGGCTTCGTGGCTCTCCAGGATCTTCAGGTGGCCGGTCTGGCTTGGTTTTCATTACAGTTTACTCGTTGATTCTCAGAAAAAGAGCATGAAGAAAGTTCACATGTGGTTTGGCGTATAGGCTGAGGATGTGGCCCAGCAGAAGAGCAAGGACCTTAAGTTCAGGATCCAGGACAAAACAGAAGCAACATCCCCAAAGCACAAACTCAGATTCCATTTAATTTATAAAATCATGTGTAGAAGTGATCTGTGTCACCTTGTAGTAAGTAGTCTTCAGGGTGCCGTGGACCTTCTAGTCTGTTAGTCTGTTTTTATTTCTCAAGACTGCTGTGCAGTGGGCTCATAGGCTTTGGGCTGTGTCTGTGTGCCATGTCTGCATGTTACTGTGATTTATTTCTCGTTATTAGATAGCTTATTTTGAGGATGGGAATGAAGGTATTTTTGTTAAAGCTCTCTGCCCAAACTTGGCTACTACTTAATTGTGACTTTTCAGAAAGTTACTACTGTCCTTTGAAATATTAACCGTTTTTTATAATCATTTTTGTGACACAAGTCATAGCCACAGCAGACTTCTGTAGTCTGTGCATTCAAGGAAGAAAACATTGAAACTTTGGGAGGGGGTTAAAAACAAACATACTACGGTCCCTCATATAAATAATCATTGGGAGGGTCCTGTCAATCAGGGATGTTAGGACACCCCCATGTGGTCACATCCCCAGATCTTTTTCCTAGTGAGTCTTTAACATAGCTTATGTTGTGCTGGGATTTATGGTCTTAATTAAGGGCATTATATATTATACCTGTTCTATTCCTTGTGACTACAAGGTAAGTCAGAGGAAGATGCCCGCCTTGGGAAGGTGTGTCTGTGAAGAAGAGGATGTGAGATATTCTCTCTTCCTGCCCTTATCTCTGTCGTTAGATAGATGGAGAGGTGAAAATGCTTTCAGAAGCAGTCAGGCCCCTGATTCTGCTGCTGTTGTAATTTTGGAGCCTGCTTTGAGCACTGTGACTGGTGTGGCTGGCTTCGCTAGCTCTTCGAATTCTAGCCAGGTGGCACTTGGGGAAGAAACAGTTGGCTGGGTAGCTCTTGGGGAAAGGACGGGTATTATTATAGAGTCTCTGGGGTCACACAGTCTCCTTTCATAGGTTGTTGTCTGAAGGTGGTGATTGATTAAGGAACTAATAACTCCACGACTCTGTCACCTACCTGCATTTTAAATCATGCTGACAGTTTTTAGGTATAAACAAACATTAGTTTCATATTTCATTGCTTTGATGGAGCAATATTACCAAGTTTCTGTGTGGCTTTTCCTGGGAAGATCTACAGGTGCCGATTCACCCCACATAGGACATTAAAGAAACTACCCTTACATAGAGGGGGAGAGGGGAGGAAGAGAGGGGAACAGAGAAAAATATATAGCTGCTCAATGAAAACAATTTTAAAAAGAAAAACCAAAAAAGAAAAAGAGAGAGAGATACCCTTACTTGGTCCATCCTGGTGATCTAGGAGGGTTAGTGGGGTCACACTGTAGGAACATGGGTGAGGGGTAGCTTACCGAAGTGTGATACCTCTTAGATGTATCACCAAAAAGCCCCGCCCAGCTTGACTGAGGACTCATGACAACTGTATCTCTGGAGTCTCCTGTTGAGATAATTAACACAGAATACCATGCTTACAGCAGTGTTCTAAATCATGTAATAGAAGTTCTATCAATGTGCTTGAAATAAAAATATGTCATGTGATATGAATCGCTACAAATGACGATTGACTTTTCACTACACGTGAAAGATCTTTGTATTTGTGTTTGTATGAACTCTAGCAGCCTGCCTGGGAAATCCTATTAGATCATCGCGTAAACACACACAGGCACACACGCACACACACACACCGTTTGTCTTCTGAGTTTCAGATGTTGCTGACCTTACTTCTGAGATGTAATGACCAATGCTAATTTGTAACCCCAGCATTTACATTAGATGTTTTATTCTTAGAATGTTTAGACCAATTTATTTATTAATAGATGATATTTGGCTAAAGAATACAGTACAACTTTCCTAGTGGTTTTGAATGAAACTAAGACTTATATAGCCTAGAAAAAGAGGACCCCAATAGAGCAGTTGAGAGAAGACTGTCCAGTACAAGAGTTGTCCTCATGCCCTGCTAGGAACTTCAGGGTAATTTCACAGCACATTTGTGCCCTTCTTTTCCCCTCAAAAAATCAGTGTCAGGCCTTGAAAAGAAATAATAATCATTTCATAGATTTAATGATATTTTATTTCTGTTTTTCTCTAATGATTTTGACCTCTTTGCCTAATTTTAAGGGCTCTGTACCGCAGGCTAAGTAATATATGCAAATTAATTCCTTCCTCGACATTGTGTTGTTGAGCTATTTGAAGATTCTTCTTACTCATGTAAGTCACTAGCCTCTCCACCCTGACT